AAATAATCAAAAAGCCAAGAAACAGCATAGAGAGAAAGAGCAAACATCAGAAAAGAGACAGTCCCGGCAACAGCGCTCTGATACCTGAGCCACGCCCCCACCAGGCTCTCCTCTGACAGGGCAGCTGTGACCCAGCAAAGGAAGGGCCAGGAAGGGAGCCCGTGGTCTTCCTACCTGAGGTCTCCAGCCTTGAAGTGCTCCACAGCGCTTATTCTAACACACTTTCTAATGTACATGCTTATTATGATATAATTTATTGCCTGTCTCCCCCACTAGAATGTAAACTCCATAAGGACAGACATCTAAGCACACATTTTCAGAGATTAGAACAGTGTCTGGCATACTGTAGGCATTCGATAAACTTTGTTAAATGAGTGGATGAATGTTTGTGGTTTCAGGCCATAGCTGATGTGATAAGGAATGGTTGGGATATCCTGGCTTCGGGGTCCCTGGAGCTTGTTGAAGGAATGATCGCACATTCTTTGGTGTCCGGCTAAGGCTGACCTAACAAGATGTGAGAAGAGATGAAAGGGTTAAGCTTTCGTATCTTTGGGGTTCCTTGGGCACTGGGAAATAAGGATAGCCCCAAAACCCAAGGAGGAAAACTAAGATTAGAGTTAACAACTCTAAAATCAAGCTGCCCCTATGCTCTAAGAAAGAGAGAGACTGAGATTACATGCATTCCTGGCCAGACATAAAGCTTCCTTGTCTCCATATGTTTGGTTTCCATACGAGTTTCTCATCACAACTTGTATTCTTTCAGTCCCTCAACAAACGTGCATTGAGTCCCCACTACACACCAGAATTTTAAATATCTGATTTTATCACTGTAGGAGACTCCAGCTTTCTGGCTGAGAGCTGGGAATACCAAGCTGAATATGGTAAGACTCTCAAGAAACGAGAGTCTAGTGCGAAAGACACTTATTTTTTTCTCTAGTTTAGGATAACATTTTTGGTTAAGGTGAAGGGCAGGAAATGACAGGAACCAGCCAGCTCCCAAGATAGTTCGAAGCTTCAAGAAACCAATGATAATTTTTTTTTTTTTTTTTGCAGTACACAGGCCTCTCACTGTTGTGGCCTCTCCCGTTGCGGAGCACAGGCTCCGGACGCGCAGGCTCAGCGGCCATGGCTCACGGGCCCAGCCGCTCCGCGGCATGTGGGATCTTCCCGGACCGAGGCACGAACCCATGTGCCCTGCATCGGCAGGCGGACTCTCAACCACTGCGCCACCAGGGAAGCCCACCAATGATAATTTTTGAACGAAGAGAATTTAAAGCAAGAATCCTTTGAGGGTGGCTCACTGCTTCCCCCTGGTGGAGATCAGTAGCAAGCATGTCAGGCGGCTTTCCCACAAAACTTTTCATTCAACAAAGTGCAGAGGCTTCGAGGCAGGAGTTGGGCCTGAGAATAAACAGGGATTCACCAGGAGGACAAAGGGGAAGGGAATTCTAGGCAGAGGGGTGAGTACCAAGAGGCAAAATCCATGTCTGAGCTAGGAAACCCTAAGTAACTAATAGATTAATTGGATATTTAGGGCTTGCGGGGGAAATGTGAACAGTGGGCTTCCAAATGGGAACCAGATCCTGAGGTGCTTTGCAATCCATAAGAAAGACTGTTCTAAGGCACTGGGGAGTTTTCCTGGGCTACATGAGCGGGAAGGTGTATTGATTCAGAGATATTTATTGAGTCCCTCCTATGGGCTAGATATGTAGCTGGGAACAAAATGGTGTATAAAAACAGGTATGATCCCTGCCCTCTTGCAGCTTTAAGGCTACTAAGGAAGAGAGGTATCCATTAAAAAAAAAAGAAAACTCCTTAAAAAAGTTTAAATTAAACTTAAAATGTGAAGAGTGGCACCATAACATTGAGGAAAGACAGAAGTAGAGTACGATGTTAAGGAGACTCAGAGCTGAGTGGATAGTGCTTTACTGAGTTGAGGTTCTCTCCAGGCTGACCCTGGCGCTGGAGGAATCTGGGCATGAGCACAGCCCTTGGTCACTGCTTTCAAGGTCCCAGTGGCTCAAAGGGTGGCATCAGAGGTAGGACATCGTCAAAGGAATCTCAGCTGCCTAGGAAGGGTTGGTGGTGGCGGGAGGATTGATTATGTCAGTGTTTTTTGCAAACCATGGCTCACAGTTCAAAAGTGGGCTGTGAAATCAACGTGGTGGGTCATCACCAGCATTCGGCAAATGACATGGAATAAAATAGAAAAAAGTGTATAAAATATCATGTATAGTAAGAATGAGCATTGTTTCATGAAACTCCTTTTAGTTGTATATGTGAATGTGTACATGCATGTGTATTTGTGTATGTGTGTGTGTGTACAGGGTTGCAATATAAATCATATTTGTTACTGTGTATCTTGATTAAAAAATTTTTGAAAAATACCCGATTAGAGGCCCTCTCAAGGTCTCACCAAGCCCAGAATGTTACAAAGGATGATGGCCCAGCCCACGGAGAGGTGACATAAACCCCTCTCTCAGGAAGAACTGAGGTCCAGCTCATTTATAAGAACTTTTCCAAACTCAGTAGCGCAACTCTGAAGAGACGATATTAACTCTGAAAAGCAATTAAGAACCTAATCTCACGGATGGACCTAGAGTCTGTCATACAGAGTGAAGTGAGCCTGAAAGAGAGAAACAAATACCGTATGCTAACACATATATATGGAATCTAAAAAAAAAAAAAAAAGGTTCTGAAGAACCTGGGGCAGGACAGGAATAAAGGACACAGACGTAGAGAATGGACTTGAGGACACGGGGAGGGGGAAGGGTAAGCTGGGATGAAGTGAGAGAGTGGCATGGACATATATACACTACCAAATGTAAAACAGATAGCTAGTGGGAAGCAGCCACATAGCACAGGGAGATCAGCTCAGTGCTTTGTGACCACCTAGAGGGGTGGGATAGGGAGGGAGGGAGGGAGATGCAAGAGGGAGGGGATATGGGGATATATGTATATGTATAGCTGATTCACTTTGTTATAAAGCAGAAACTAACACAGCATTGTAAAGCAATCATACTCCAATAAAGATGTTTAAAAAAACAAACATACAAACAAAAAAAAGAACCTAACCTCAAATGCTCACTCTCATGCATTGTGGGGGGCGGTGGGAGGGAGAGGCATAAATTGGTACGAATTTTTGGAAAGCCATATGGCGACATTCACCAGAAGTCTTAAAATATGTAAACACTTTGCTGCAGGAACTCCACTCCTATGAATTCACACTACAGGGATCGCCAAGGATGTACCCAAAGTTAACACTCAAAGTTGTTCACTGCAGCAATGCTTATAACAGGAAAAAAAATGGATACAACCTACATTTCTAGAAATAGGAGGCCGGTGGAATAAATGGTGGCAGATTTCAGGCGTTAAAAATGAGCAGGAAATACACTTATTGACAAAGGAAGGTGTTTATGATATAACATGGTAGTTCAGTGCAATTTTTTAAAGGCGAGAAAATTCCCAGCTGCTTCTCACAGTAGGTAGAGAGAAGAAGTCCCCCTGAAGCAGGTTTTGTCTGCACTGAGTGACTGAGCGGCCTTTTTTAACTATGTGAATATTAGGTGAGTCAATAGCATTGTACTAGAGTGAAGAATAACATGACCTTTATAGCTAGTCAACCAGGGGTAATTCTGCACCCTCCCTGGAACATTTAGAAACATCTGGAGACATTTCTGTTTGTCATGACAGGGATGAGGCAGGGGCGCTACTGGTATCTAGCGTTACCTCTACTGGTAGAGGCCAGGAATGCTACCAAACATGCTTCAATGACAGAGGAGCCCTCAATTCAGGGCTATTTGATGATGATCGTAGCCATCATTAGAGTCTGCTAGCAAGAAAGAATCCAAAAGGGCGTGCATGGGGGAGCTGGGCCAATGACCTGTTTCAAACATGTTCTTTTTTGTCCACTTCCGTATGCCCAGCCCTGCTGGCAGACATAATCACTCCACAAATACTCGTTGAACGTTGCATGTTGAATCCAGCTAGGGCACCTATAGATGAACAGCCACCTGACTTTATCAGTGCCAGACTAGTGCTCAACAGTGACTCCTTGTGGTGGGAACTGAAACAACCATGCAGGTGGACCAGTAAGCTTTTCTTTGGCTGTTTGCAGAGCTGACCGCGTAGGACTGAAAAGGCCCCAGAGATAGTGGAAAAATCATGAGGCTAGAGGAAAGCAGGAAACCTCAATCAGAATGATGTTTGGTGTCCTGCTAATCAGGGAAAACAGGTATTTGAGAAATTAATGAAAAATAGCAAAGAAAGATTACAATGTTGGACCTCAAACTGATAAAAACAAATCAGAGGTTATTTTGTTAGGTGAAAAAAGCAGGTTTCAAAATAATATGTATGGATAATCCTAGCTTCATGGTTTTATCATTTATTGTTTAGAGAAACTATACACATACCCATTTGTCAGGAAGAATTATACCAAAAATTATACCAAAATGATAACAGTAGAGGGTGGGGACTTGGGTTGGTTTTTTTTTTTAAATCTATTTTCTAATTTATTTTACAATGAATGTATATTATTTATGGAAAAAGAAAAATAAGAAGTTAGATGCTGAGCCAAAATACAAAGGCACTTCCCAATGTATAAGGTAAAAAGACCCTAGGGACTTCCCTGGTGGTGCAGTGGTTGGGAGTCCACCTGACGATGCAGGGGACACAAAGCCCTGGTCCGGGAGGATCCCACATGCTGCGGAGCAAAAAAAAGACCCTAGTCTTTCACTCACGCCCAATATTTCCATATATGGACCCTAATTATCCAGAAGCCCATGCCCTACCACCTCAGAAGGTCTCCCTTGGGCAAGAGTAGCTGCCCTGACCACTTCTTCTGGCTCCAAATTCCAGGCCCCTCTTTCCTCTGCTCATGAGAGGTACGCACCATCCAGAGCCGGCTCTGCCTCATCCCGGCCTGCAGGTGCGGGCACAGGAACCCGGAGGAATGGCGGCACACGTCGCGGACGCGTTTCCATCCCCCTGGGGCTGCTCACCTGACATGTGGACGTTCCGTAGGCAGGAGAGGGAGGCATTGAGGCGGGCACACTCCTCCCGGTTGGCCCCGTATTTCTCCACGGTCTCACACACCTGCTCGTCCGTCATCTCCAAGAGGTCCTCCAGACTCAGCTGGCCCGGGGTGATCTCCTAGCGGAGGGAAGAGAGAAGGAGGGTAAACAGACCGGAAGCGCCCCGAGGGGAGGCCTCCATGTCGCCCTCTAGTGGTACCTAGAGGAAGGCCAGGCTCTCCGTGGATGTCGGCTTAGCATAACGGTTGGGTCTCCTCACTCCGGTCAGACAGGCCTGCGTTTGAATCTCAGCTTTGCCACTCATTAGCTAGATGATCCCGGGCAAATCACTTAACCTCTCTGAGCCTCACTTTACTCACCTGAAAAGTGGGAATCTTAAGCTCATGTGCTCTGTAAGGTCGCAGGTATGCTTAGCACATAGTCGGAGCTCTGTAAATGGTGGCTGTTAATTACCTGTCTCCTCATGCAGTTTTTGAACTCCTTATAGGCAGGGCTCCAATTTACTCATCTTGGAAGGCCTTCCATGCCTCCTGCCCGGCTTGGACTGCAATGATTTGTCCCAAATCCAGGGTGAACTAATAAGAGCAGAGAAAACTGGACAGCCCAAGTCTCCTGATGGCTGGTCTCCTTTCCCTTTTCTTCTCTCTTTCCCAGCCACACATTCTAGGGCTCAGATTGGGGGTTCAGGAACCCTAAGGGGAAAGGGGGGCTGGAACCCTGTAGGTGGTTCAGTGCTGTCAATCAAACGGGATTTGGGTCTGAGCCCGATAGGGCAAGACTTTGCAATCTAAGACGAAGTGGAGTACAGCATAGAGTGAGGAAAGGGACACCGCTGAAGAGATGGGCTGGAGGAAAGGTAGGATTGCCGGCTATAACTGTGTTGGTCAGGTGTCCCTTCACCACCGCCAGCAACCATCCCTCCCTTCCCCGAAGCAGTGTGTCCCTATACACCACAATATGGACACACCTGGAAATTGGTCAAACTTCTATATTTACGCATCTAAAAAAAAACAGCCTTCACATTATAGCACTTATTGGTAACCAACATTTTACATTTATTATTATTATTACTATTATTAAAATAAGAGTTTTAGATAGCAAAGAATGGCGATTCTAAGGCAATATTATGGAGTACTTCCGCCCTCTTGTGGCCATACCTGTGTATTACAAACAAATGAGACACCATCCTGCCCCACCCCGCCCCCGCCTTAATCTGGCAGTCAGAAAGATGAAAACTGCATCGACACAAAAATTCTATGGAAAAAAAAAAAAACGCTGCCGGGCAAAAGCTGAAACCCAATCAGTGCCTCTCCAACTCACTAGGTCAGGGGCAGAGAAAGAACAGTAATGAGTCACATAGCAGCTTCCTCAAATAGGGACTGTTACAGGGAAGTCCACATTAAGCAAGGTGGTGCACCAGGATCTGAAAGTGTGAATTGAATTACATTTAGAAGGGATGATTCACAACATAAAAGAATTCTCCTCTTTGCTGCAAGATCCACTTGTGCATTTTAATCCTATAATTTACCCTCCAAATACTCAATTTACACTGAAGTTTACGGTTCACACACACACACTAATCACAGCAGGAAGAATGACAGAAAAAAATGGAGAAGGCTTTAACTAGCTTGGCCCAAAAGAGGAGAGGCACTTCTGTTCGATTTATTCATAATAATAATAATAATTGAAATAGAACACTGTTTTAAGTGCTTTTCATGGATTTTCTCTAAAGGTCACAAAGACCGCATAAAGCAGGTACTTTTACCATAATCATCAGTCTGTAACTAGGACATTGGCATTCAGAGAAGTCAGACCACCATCACCCAGGGTCACACTGTGAGTAAGTGTGAACCCAGGCAGTCTCACTTAGGAGATTTCTCCATACTGCTGGTTCTTCCACAGAAGGGGGCCGCCTGGGGGACACACGCGTGAGCTGCAGACAGAGAGCTGGAAACCCAGCTCCGTCCACACCACCTGGTTGGTGGCCTTGGACTCGATTCTCATAGACTAAGATAAGAGCCAGAGCCCAGGCACCTGCAGGCCAGGTAAATGTAAATGAGCAAAGCTGAGGACTAGCCTGCGGGATCCTAAGGGGCAGCAGAATTCGGTTCACTGACACCAGACAGGAATTCGGTTCTGTGCGGTCAGCAATTCCGATTTTTCAAGAGAAGCCGAAGATCTGAGTTTTTTATGCAGACTCTTCCAACTTTTAAATACTGGCTCAAAAATAATTTTGAAGACAAACAAAAAATATCTGTGCCTCAGATACAAGATACAGCAGAGGGCCACTAGTTTTCAACCCCTGAAGGTTTGTCTCGGTCTTATTCGCCTCAATTGATAAATAAATGGTCCCGAAAGCCTCTGAAACATGTATGGAGCCATGCAAATAAAATGTACTGTCTGTACTTTCTGGGACCTTTCATTTTAAGGATATTCACACGAAACCGCCATCCTGGGAATGATATTAAGAAACAGAGACTCCTACACCATCTGGTGCGTATGCACAAGATGCAGGCGGAGGGGGGAGAGGGGAATGTGAGGCTTCTGTACCCCCAGCTCAGGACTGTTATATGTAGCAGGTTCGGGCAAGATCACATTGGGAACAAGGTCTAAAAAGACAAAAGGATCTTCCAGGCCTCTTTGAGCAGGAAGCAGGGGGTGCCTTGAGAAATGGCACTTGGTCCTGCAAGTGAGGGGGGCGCCCAGAACGCCCTCTCCCCAGCTCAGGGAGGCCCCCCAACAGGAAAACGAGGAGAAAGCACCGTGCTTCCCACTTCACACTCTGGAGTCCATCTGAGCTGGGGTTTCCTGCTAGCCCCGCCCACTCACGAGCAGGGCAACTCCCTCCATCTTCTAGCCTCGGTTTCCTGCTCTGTACAATGGGGTAAAAGTCATACCTACCTCAAAAGGTCGTTGTGAGGGTCTGAACAGTCTCAAGAGTTGAGATCCTGCATGTAAAACCCTCAATACTATGGCTGGCACTGAAGATTCAATGAATGAGAGCTGATTTTATTAGGAAAGTTTCCACCCACTCACTGAAAACAAGGGGGGACCCAAGATCCCAGAGGGTAAGGAAATCTCACCAACCTTGAAACCTTAAGGAGGTGATCCACTCCTGGAGCGTGGACACAAGACAACAGGTGTTCTGATTTTGTCACTAGAAAACCTATTACTTCCAAAGTTTTCAGTAACAGCCACAACAATAATAAGTTGACATTTCCTGGGTACTATTAGGTTGCAGACTATGGGCTGAACATTTTACACAGATCATCTCATTTTATCATGCCAACTACTTAAGAAGAGGAGACAACCATTACCCCATTGAACAGATGAGAAAACCAATGTCCTAAGATATGCTGCCCAGTATGGTGGCCACTGGCCACATTAATGAACATTAAATACAATTAAAACTTGAGTTCCTCAGTCACAGGCACTAACCACAATTCAAGTGCTCAGTAGCTACATGTGGCTGGTGGCTACCACATCAGGCAGCACAGATATGAAATATTTCCACCATAGTAGAACATTCTGCTGGACAGCACTGGTCTAAGAGGTAAAGTGATTTGGCCCAGGAGGCTGAGTCCTTAAGGGGCAGAGCTGAAAGAGGGTCTATCTGACTCTAGGTCCACACTCTTTTTTTTTTTTTTTTTTTTGGCCACACCTCACAGCATGTGGGATCTTAGTTCCCTGACCAGGGATCGAACCTAAGCCTGGATTCTTAACCACTGGACCGCCAGGGAAGTCCCTAGAACCACACTCTTAATGACCCCATTCAGACAGCATCAGAGATGCTCCGTGCCTGCATCCAACGCGTATTTAAGTCCTACTATGAGCCAGACACAGCCAAAAACCCACTGCCTGAGGGGGCTGACTGCCGGCCAGTAAGGGGCAGAGGGCAGGGGTCGCCTCCAGTCACCTCCAGGACTTCCTTCCGCACGTCGACGATCCGGAACCAGTGCCGGAGCTGGGGGAAGCCGTCCAGCTCGGCATTGCGTTCCTGCAGGGCTACCTTCTTTTTGCAGGACAGCTGCCGGCTGAAGTACTTCACCAGCTTGCTCTGCGGAGACACAGAGAACAGAGGACATGTCTCAGAGGCACTGCCACAAGGAGGAGAGGCAAGCATCTCCCCAATGTCCCCTCCGCACCCCAACTCCGTGTTTTAAAGACCGGTTCAACTGCAGTGAGACCCAGTTTCCATTCATGTCCCAACTGTGTTGGTGAAGATGGGCAAACAGGCAGGTTCCAAGATTCTGCTGGGGAGCACGGCGTGCGTTGTACCCGTGTAGTGGGGGCGGGGTTTGGACTGTATCCATCCACATCTCCACTGCACCAATCCTTTGACCTTCACAGTTGCACTTGTAGGAACTCCTCCCACAGACACCCCATCCTGTGCCAAATGACTGTGGAGAAGGATATTTCCTACAGTTCTGTTTGCAATGGCAAAAGATTGCAAACACCCTGAGGGGCCATCGGTAGGAGACTCATCATAAATGAGGATACACGCACACAGCGGAACTCTATGCAGCTGTAAAACAAAAAGAGGAAGTGTGCTGTGTACTAAGACAAGATATGCTGATAAATAAAAATAAATACTCTCTCATTCACGTGGGAAATGTTTACATTTGTGTATCTTTGTAAATGCAGACGCTCTCTGGAAAGATCCCTAATCTTCTAGGGAAGGAAAGAGGGAGGGAGGGGGACAGAGGTGAGAGGAACATTTTGTTTAACCCCTTTTTTACTATTTCAGTCTTAAGTCACATGCAAGTATTCATAAATTAACAAATACTTTTAAAGTGAGGTGGACCCCGGGACTTCCCTGGAGGTCCACTGGTTAAGACTCCATGCTTCCACCGCAGGGGGGCACAGATTCGATCCCTCATCCAGGAACTAAGATCCGCATGCTGCCTGGTGTGGGCAAAAAATAAATTTAAAAAATAAAATAAAATGAGATGGACCTGAACCCATGCTTCTAGAGGGATGCCATGCCATGAAAAAGGAAAGGTTTTTTTTTTTATTGCCTATTATGTAAAAACTAACAACATTAACAAAAGAAAGGCAATAGGTGTGCATGAGCAGAGAAAAAAGTGTGCAAGACACACCCCAGCCTGCTAAGTTGGGATGGGGAAGCTCTATAGATGGGGTGAGAAAAAAACGGTTGTATTTCTTTATATATTTTTGCTTTGTTTCAATAGTTACTCAAAGCATGTTTCATTTTTGTGATTTAAAAGCTATTTAATAAAGATAATTCAATGAAACAAAAATAAAAATCCTTAGTTATACAAATGCTTTTGACATTTTAAAGCACCTGTCAGCCAATATTTATCAAGAAGGCGGTCCCAGAATTCTAGGATCACATCATTTGGAGCAGGGCATGACAGCAGTGGGCACCTGTTTCTGTCTAGCTGGTCTCCATACAAAGACTATTTCAGCTTTCTTTTGGGGAGCCTCCTTCTTCGGCTCCCAGTTCATATGGCTGAGGTGAGGCTGGCTTCACCCACCCACCCCACCACCACCGGGCTGCAGGGTGGGCATGTGACCCAGGCCTGGCTGCAGCCTTTGGAGCAGAAGTAACAAGTAAGCCAGGCTGGGCCGCCGAGAAACCTCCCCATCAACCCTTCCCAAGCACTCAGAGGACAGCTCCCACTTCCCACTGGAATTGTCAGGAGGGCGCCAATGAAGCCAGGAGCTGGCGGGGCATCCCTGTTGCCATCGAGGAGAGCTCACCTGACACTGAAGCCCACTGGAAGAAATCAGAAAACTGGTGCTTAAGTTAACGTTAATTTTATTCACCTCACTAGTAAAGAGAAAGTTGCCATTCTTTTTTTTTTTTAACGGAGATTTTTTAAATTAATTTATATTTTTGGCCGTGCCGCGCAGCATGTGGGATCTTAGTTCCCCAACCAGGGATCAAACCCGTGCCCCCTGCAGTGGAAGCACGGAGTCTTAACCACTGGACTGCCAGGGAAGTCCCAAAGTTGCCATTCTTGATCAGCCCACATTCTATTGCAATAACGGCACAAAAATCACCTTATGCTAATGTACCTAGAATGCTTTTCATCTAGAATCTCAATTCCGAGTGTTAGAATAGAAAATTTCAAAAAGAATATGTTTTTTCTCTAGCTTATTTCTGAATGAATAGGGTCTGACCTACTGAGACTTCAAAGCTGGGCTCTCAACTAAGACATCCATAGAACTTTCATGTCTCTCGTTTTATTTTACGACTTGTTTTAACTATTTTCTTTATACAGGTATGGAAAACCACACAAAAGAAAGAAGTACACTTTGACACGTTCCCCATCATTCTTTGAGCACTTCCTTACTCTCTGACACCACAAAATTTTCTAGGATCATCTTATTCTTTTCCTGACCCAACCCTGGAATCCATCGTTTCTCCAAGGAGTGTTGGTTCCTCTGAGCGGAATATGGTATTCAGAAGCCAAGATCTGGGTACTTGGTGAGATTATTGATACCGGGGTGTCATCATTTCCAGTCCCCTTAGTAGACAGCCTAGGCAACATATGTATGAGCAATGCATATGTGAATACGTAGATACATAAATCTGCACCTATATTTATTTTGTTATTTATATGTATTGATAACTGATACCTCTAATCCCAATCCAACACCATGGGGTTTATTCTAGCATTTTCCCTCCCCACATTTGTATCACTCTTCTCAGGCAGTGAGAAAAACAATCCTCAATATACTTATTTATTGGCTCCGTCTGCTGAATTTAGCGAATTCCCTAACTCCACCAGGCCACTGCCCTGCCTGGGTGCTGCCCTCATGAACCCTGACCCCTGCTGGGCTGCCCTCTCACCCTAGTTCTGCTGCCTGCCTTGTTTTAGTTTTTGTTTTTTGCGGTACGCAGGCCTCTCACTGCTGTGGCCTCTCCCGTTGCGGAGCACAGGCTCCGGACGCGCAGGCTCAGCGGCCATGGCTCACGGGCCCAGCTACTCCGCAGCATGTGGGGTCTTCCCAGACCGGGGCACGAACCCGTGTCCCCTGCATCGGCAGGCGGACTCTCAACCACTGTGCCACCAGGGAAGACCTTGTTTTTGTTTTTGTTTTAATTGAAGTATAGCTGATTTACAGTGTTGTGTTAGTTTCTGGTGTACAGCAAAGTGATTCAGATATAGATATAGATATGTATATATCTATCTATATATATTCTTTTTCATATTCTTTTCCATTATGGTTTATCACAGGATATTGAATATAGTTCCCTGTGCTCTACAGTAGGACCTTGCTGTTTATCCATCCTATACACAATAGTTTGCAACTCTTAGTCTCAAACTCCCAGTCCATCCCTCCTCTACCCCGCCCTTGGCAACCATAAGGCTGTTCTCTATGTCTGTGAGTCTGTTTCTGTTTTGTAGATAAGTTCATTTGTGTCATATTTTAGATTTCACATATAAGTGATATCACATGGTATTTTTCTTTCTCTTTCTGACTTACTTCGCTTAGCATGATAATCTCTAGTTGCATACATGTAGCTTCAAATGACATTATTTCATTCTTTTTTATGGCTCAGTAGTAGTCCATTGTATATACGTACCACATCTTCTTTACCCATTCACCTGTCGATGGACATTTAAGTTGTTTCCATATCTTCGCTATTGTAAACTCTTCTGCTTATGAACACTGGGGTGCATGTATCTTTTCAAATTACGGTTTTCTCTAGATACGTGCCTAGGAGTGGGATTGCTGGGTCATATGGCCATGCCTTGTTGTTGTTGCTGTTGTTTCAGATATTGATGTTTGCCGATGGATTCTCAAATCCAATATCCAGGCACCACCCCCAACTCTGCTCTGGTTTCACACGCTGAGAAGCGGACACGAGTGAAACTGATTTAATCTCGGTGTCAAATGTCCAAAATGGTCATTTCACCAGCTACATGTGGCTAACTGAGCATTTAGGGTATTGCTATAGGGTGATTAAGGAATGGAATTTTAAATTTTATTTAATTTAAATTTGAAAATGGAAGCCACGTACAGCATTTTTCTGTTAAACATAAACTTATCATTTTGATAGAGCTACATTTTACTTTAACTTTGACATTTTAGGGTCTGAATTGAGATGTGCTGTAAGTGTAAAATACACATTGGATTTCAAAGACTTGATAGGAAAAAAATAACATAAAATATCTCATTAATATTTTTACATGGATTACATGTTTCAATGATAATCTTTTGGATACATTGGGTTAGATAAAATATATTACTAAAATGAATTTCAGCTGTTTATTAATGTGGCTACTAGAAAATTTTAAATTATACATTTGGTTCACATCTGTCACCCTCATTATATTTCTAAGGGACAGTGTTGCTCTAGGGCTTTATCCTAAAGAAATAATTAAGGATATTCATGAAGTCTTGCTCCAAGTGGATAATAGCCATGAAAGATTAGAAACAATCCAACTCTTCAGTGATAAGAGCTGATGTAAATAAATTACAATGTATTCATATAGTGGCATACCATTTAAAGATGTACAAAATATGTATAATATTTGTAATGTATAAATAATGTATTAAAAGCTTTATAAAGCTATACGAGTATAGATGCAAAAAGCCTTGGGAGGGTATATAACAAAATTAAGATTACGGGTGACCTATTTTTTTCCTGTTTGCACATCTGTAGCAATCTTAGAAAATACGATGTATATGCATTAGCTGCTTATCATGGAAAAAAATGTTTGGATAAGGTTGGCAATATTTTTTAACGCTGATGCTATCCAATGTCAATGAGAATGTGAGAAACCATTGAGAATGCCACCAGAAAGCAATTTGATTTGGAAGTATCAACATTTTTTTTTCAATTGAAGTATAGTTGACTTACAATGTTGTGTTAATTTCTGCTGTATAGCAAAGTGATTCAGTTATACATATACATATATATATATATATATACATTCTTGTAAAAATTATTTTCCATTATGGTTCACCACAGGATACTGAATATAGTTCCCTGTGCTGTACAGTAGGACCTTGTTGTTATCCTTTCTACCTATAATGGTTTGCATCTGCTAACCCCAAACTCCCAATCCATCCCTAACT